CCATCGGCTCTATCCGCACCTGCCGACTGCTATCGTCTGCTATGGTCTAATTTGGGTTTCCAGCCTTTGCTATCGTCTGTTAATCGTCTGCAATTGTCTGCTACGCACTATCGACACCTATCGTTTGCTATCGTTTGGTAACGGCTTCTATCGTCTGCTATCGGCACCTATCGTTTGCTATCGTCTGGTAACCGCTGTTATTGTCTGCTTTCTTGTGCTATCGACTCTACTGTCATCTGTCGACGACTGCTATCGTCTGCTATCGTCCGGTAACCACTGCTATAGACTGCTATCGGCATTTATCGTCTGCTATCGTCTGGTAACGATTGCTATCGTCTGCTATCGTTTGCTAACGACCCCATCAGCACCTGTCGACTGCTATCGTCTACTATCGTCTTCTTCGGGTTTCGATTGTCTGCTAACCGTCTGCTAAGATTTATCGTTCCTATCGGCATCTCGTCACCTATCGTTTCGTAACGTGTGCTACCGGCTGCTGTCGGAAAACATAGTCTGCTATCGTCTTTTCTTGTCTTCTATCTGTTAAGCTCGTCTACTAGGATCTGCTATCGGCCGAGATCGTTTGGTATTGTCTGCCATCGCCTGATATCGGCTGATTTCGGCTACTTGTTGTTGTGCCGATTTCTATCGTCTACTATCGTCTTTGCTGGCTGCTATCGTCTGCTATAGTTTGCTATCGTTTGGTAACAATTGGTACCGTTTGACATCGGTTTCAATCGTCTGCTATCGTCTGCAGCCGGCTGCTATGGCCTGCTATCGTTAGCTATCGTCCGTTATCGCTGGCTATCGTCTGCTATCGTCTGCCATCGGCCGAGATCGCCTGCTACTGCCTGCTGCTATCGTCTAACATTCGCTGCTATCGGCTGCTAGTTGTTGTGTATGTCTCTATCGTCTCCTATCATCTGATGCCTGCTGCTATCGTCTGCCATCGTCTTGTAACACCTGCTACCGCCTGGCATGGGTTGCAATAGTCTGGTATCGTCTGCCATCGTCTGCTCCTCCTCCTCCTTCTCCACCACCTCCGTCTGTTCTCCCTGCAGGACGATCGAGATGGATGCAGTGGGGGCCCATGCCAAGAAAGACCCTGCTCGCGTCCAGGGTGCCCTGGGTTTCCTGGGTTTCGATGGCTCTGCTATGGAGCGTGACGCTCCTACGCCCAAACACGATGGACGCCCTGGGGTCTCAGGTTTGGGTTTCTTCTGGAAGGTTTCGTGTGGCCGGGCCCCGACTGTACGGAAGAAGTTGGTAGAAAAACCGATCGCATTTCCGGTCCGTGTCAGCCACGCGCACAGGGGGGTAGGTGGAGGGGGGAGGGCTTCTCAGTAACACCTCTGCCTCTTAGGAGGCGCGGGCCTTGCCAGTAGAGGTAAGGCCAGCGCCTTGTCAGAAGCAGCCTCCTTCTAAGAAGCCTCGCCCCCTCCCCATCCCCTTGTGCGTGCCGCCAATCATTTTGAACATGCTTCGCTGTCGGTGCCGCCGGGACCTCGTCCACTTGAGACAGATGGCCGCCTGCCCAACAGCGGCCGCTCTCGGTTTTGGACAGCACTTGTTATTGGGCATCGTGCCCCCGTTTTCCGTGCCCATCTTGGGCGCCCAATTCTCTCATCCCTTCTGCCTCTCTCCTCCCTCCTCCCCGCTCCGTCTTTCTCCCTCTGCCTTCCTCCTCGTCTCTCGTTCGCTCCTTGCTCGCCCCGCTTGCCGCCTGACTAAATGGAAGGCGCACCCTATTAACAACGTGATTTCCCAAGACTCCCTTCTTTCCAAGTTGCCCCCTCCCTCCATCTGCTCGGCTGGCGCGAGCTTGTTCCACAGTGCGCTTTGTCATCCCTCCCTCGCTCTTCGGCACCCTTTCTCTCTTTTTCTCTCCTCGTTTGGGGCCTCCTCCTTATCCCGCTCCACACCCCCCTCCTCATCCCCCTCCTTTTCTCCTCGTCAGTGTCGTCGGCCTTCTTCGAAGGCTCCTCTCTCATCGATCCCCTATCCTTGTCCCTTATCCCTCTCTCTTCCTTGTCCCTGATCCTTCTTCGACCCCTTGTCCCTTGTCCTCCTTCGATCCCTTGTCCCTTGTCCCTTCCTTCTTCGATCCCTTGTCCCTCATCCTTCTCTCTTCCTCCCCCTTTTCCGCTTCGTCCTTCTCCATCCTCCCATCGCCTGCCTCCTTCACGCCTGCCTCCCCTTCGCCCAGCCTCCCGCCAGAGTAAGAACTGAAGGCGGCCCCCGCTTGGACACAGATGACATCCCCTTTCAGCTAGCGCGAGCTCGTTCCACAGTGCGCCTCCTCCTCTGCCCTCCCGCGCTCTTGGGTACCCCTTCCCTCTTGCTCTGCTCTTCGTGGGCTTCCCCCCTGTCCCGTTCCACATCCCCCTCCTCCCCCTCCCCTTCTCCTCGTCCTCGGCAGTGTCACCAGCTTTCTTCGAAGCCCCCTCTCTCCTCATCTTTCTCTTTCATGCCTTCTTCCTCTCCCCTCCTCCCTCGTCCCCTCTCCGTCCTTCTCCGTCCTCCCTCCTCCTTATCTCCTCTTCACTCCTTCTTTCCTCGCCCCGCTTTCCGCTTTACTACATGGAAGGCGCCCCCCACTTGAAACAAGTAATATTTCCACATACATTTGTTGTTTCGAGAAAGTGCCCGAAATGACAATTCGAGCCTTCCGTCCCAAGATGCCCCTAGACAGCCCAAGAGGGCTCGCCGAGCGCTCCCCAGAGGGCCCCCAAGAGGCAACAACCATTCACTTTCTGTAAACTTTTGATTTTTTGTTCGGAGCTCTCGACTTTTCCAGCTTCCGGCGCTCCACGAGGTCCCAAGAGGCCCCCAAGACCGTTCCGAGGCGGGCCAAGAGACCCCCAAGAGTGCCCCAAGACGGCCCAAGGGGGCCCCAAGCGGCCCTAGGGGCGCCCAAGACGCCCCAAGACGGTCCCAAGAGGGGCCCGAGCGCAGGAACCCGAAGCGATACTTCGAGTTCTCTTTTCAGGGATGCCCGTAGACGGCCCAAGAGGACTCGATGAGTGCTCCCCAGCTGGCGGCAAGAGGCGAAAGCCACGGATTTTCCAGTGGTTTTAGTGTGATTTCGAAGGTCTTGACTTTTCGAGCTTCCAGCGCTCCACGACGTCTCAAGAGGCTCCCAAGACCGCCGAGACGGCCCAAGAGGCCCCCGAGAGGGCCCCAAGAGGGCCCCAAGAGAATCCCTGGACGGCCCTAGACGCGCCCAAGACACCCCAAGAGAGCTCCAACACTGCCCCAAGAGGGATCCAGATTTAACACTCATGTAACACAAATCGCGTCCTCGACAGGGACGGCGTAGTGTTAAATGTGTGTGAAATTGTTGGGGCTCTGGGGCCGCTCTGGAGGGAGTCTCAGGAGAGTCTCATGGGGGCCTCTGGATGCCCCACAGATCTCCAGGGTCTGGAGGGCCCAAGAGGCCCTGGAAAAACAAAACACGCCCCAGAACGTGCAGTCGTCCGATCACGTCCACAGACGACGACCACCACCACCACGACCACTACGACGACCACGCGACGATCATCGCGACTGCGGCGGCGGCTGCGGCGGCGGCGTTGGCCTGGCGGCTCGGAGCCTCTGGGGCCCTCCTCGGTCATTGGCAGTCACGTCAACTGCGCAGACTGTCAAACACTCGGAGCATTCCGACGCGTTGCACGCCGATCTCGCACGGTTCCACGATCGCCCACCAAACCCTAAGCTATCCCCCAGAAGGCCCCGCACCACGCGCCAAGGGCGGCCCTTGTCTGGGGAACCTCTCCCTGGGTATTTTGGGGTTCGTGGATCAGCGCAAGGTCCACTGACAATGACTGCGCAGTCTGCTAGAACCGAAGCGCGCGTAGCATTCGATCCCAACAACAGGATTGCCCAAAGGTGATCGTCGATACGTTTTTCCATACTGAATTTCTCGCCCTGTCAGAATCTTTGCGTCGACTGCGGCGCTGCCCACGTTGAGTTTCGGTGGAGCCTCCGACCAAGGAGACGTCGCCCTCGCCGTGCCGCTGGCCGCATCTTTGGACTAGGCAAGTGGCGATCCCGCTGAAGCCTTTGCCATGTTTCAGACTTTGCAAAGACTTTCCCTTCAATAGAACGACGCTGTCTCCGCAGCGTTGGCCGTATCCTTGCGTAGTTAGCTCCCGCCGCTGCATTTGCCGCATGTACATTTTTTCAATGGGCCTCCGTCCCACGCAACGACGCTCTCACTGCCGCGCTGGCTGTACAATTGCATCAGCAAGAGTGGTGTTCCCGACGCTTTGGCGTTTGCCACGTTTCAGGACAGAGTTTCCCCCATCGGGATCCATGTCTCCTTCGACCTCTGCGAGTAGGAGAAGGCCCAAGGCCATGGTAAGAGATGGGTGGGAGTTTGCCCTCTCCGTCCTTCTCCCCGATCCCCCGTCCCCGTCTCTGCCCCCCCTTGGCGCGTGAGATCGTTGTTGCCAGGGCTGGACCTAAACGCTGTTCTGCTGGACTTCGGTTGTGTTTCGTTTTTCGTTTTGGCAGGGATGTGCAGCAAAACAGTTTTTGATCCGCGGGTCGAGAGCGCACCTCTTCCGGTCGAAGCTAAGCGGGCCGCGCGAAGCTTGAATTAGGCAGAGAAGAGGAGGGAGGAAACGTCAGGCTCAGAGCGTGGCCGAGAGGAGGCATAGCCTCGGATACAGGCGGTGCCGAAACCGAAGTTCATGCAAAGGGACGCCTTCGGCAGGAGCCCGGTGGCGAAGCACCGGAGAAGAGCAAAATACTACCGCAGGTGTCATGGTGTTCAACGTTGTGTAACACCAGCTTCGGGCTAGCGGCGGGAGATGACGCGCCTTTCAACCAATCTGCATCAGGAATCAGGGGAGACGAGAGCACGATACGAGACGAAGTGCGACGTTGTGCCGCCGTCCAGTGTGCAGCAAAACAACGGTAGAGCAACATGAAAAACAAGACGACAACGGAACGAAACACGTCGTTTAGGTCCAGCCCTGGCTGTGGCCGCGTCCGGGCAGGACCGGTGGCAGCTGCTGCAGTCGCTGGAGGCCGCGGCAGCCCAGGGCGGGGACAAGGGCGACCCAGAGGCGGGCGAGGCTGCAGCTGCGGGCGCCGCGGCCGCAGGCCCCCCCGCGCCCTGGCAAGCGCAGCCGTTCGCTTCGGCGCTCGCTCGGGAGATGCCAGCATGAGGAAAGGGCTCCTCCTCCTCCTCCTCCTCCTCCTCCTCCTCTCCTCCTCCGCCTCCGCCTCCTCCTCCTCCTCCTCCTCCTCCTCCTCCTCTTCCTCTTCCTCCTCCTCCTCCTCTTCCTCCTCCTCCTCCTCCGCCTCCTCCTCCTGCGCCTCCTCCTCCTCCGCCTCCTCCTCCTCCTCCTCCTCCGCCTCCCCCTCCTCCTCCTCCTCCTCCTCCTCCGCCTCCTCCTCCTCCCCCTCCCCCTCCCCCTCCTCCTCCCCTTCTTCTCCGCCTCGACTGCGGCAGTCAAGAGTCCTGATGTTCCGACCTACTGTAGCCTTGCCCGCCAGAACGAATCTCGAGCGCCAGGAAGGCATCGAACCTGCAGGGCTTTCACGCGCGGGGACCTGGGGAGGCGACTGCCGCTCGACGCCCGACACTTCCGCCAGCGTGTCGAACAGACGCTCCTTCGACAGATTCTGACCCCTGCAGTCGGGGCGCTGAAGAAGGAACCCTTTTCGCTGGGGAGGGGCTCGGTGTTCCTTGATTGTTTCAAAGTTTGCCTCGGGTTTTCCTGAGGTTTTCCATGGGAAATCGAGGGTGAACTGATGGGAAACAGGGGCCTCGTTCCTTAGTTAGGGTTCCTTAGGTCAACGCCCCGACTGTACGCCGGGCACAGCCGAAGTCAAAGCACGCCTCGGGGCCCCCGCCTTGCCCAGTGGCCCGGGCCACCTGCGGGGGGCGCGTGGATCCCAGCGCCTCAGGCGCCGCGGCCTCGGCCAGACCGGCCGCCCGTCTCTCCGCCCAGGCATGTCTGCTCCGCGGCGGGCCCGGCGCCCGTCACGGGCCGATCCAGCCAGGGAGATGCCGCGGGCAGACGGGGCCAAGGGTTCCGGCCGCCTCTGGGGAAGGTCAGCTCTCCATGTGGGCCGATCCTGGGCGCAGGACTGGCCTTGCTTCAGTCTCGTGCGACCTATCCTCATCCCCATCCCCACTGGGCAGTGGCATCTCAGCCCGACCATACCCCCATCCCAGTTGGGGATAGGCCCCTCGAAACCCGAAGGGAGTAGCCTATGTACCCATGCAGGGGGGAAATTCGGCCAGTGGGGCCCAGGCCACGCCAGAGGGGACAAGAATCGGTTAAACGATGCTCATTGCTAGGATTTCTGCAGGTGCGTCGTCTGCCTCCTCTAACAGGGGAGCAGAGGAGTTGGAAGTGGGATCGGCAGTGGCCGTCGCGCATCCCGGTACCGCTGCGTCGCCCTCCTCTGACTCCGCCGGCCGTTCGCAATGGGATTTGCCTGCAGCGCTTTGCTCGACCTGGCCGAATAGCCTCCCCGAGTGGTTACGCCACAGTGTCAGGTATGGTCGGACCGGAGTATAAGAGCGAGGTCGGTTCGGCTTGTTGGTTGTTCTTGTGCATCCTGGGGGAGGGTGCCCTCGAATGTCCTTCAGTTTGGGCCGGCAGATGGTCTCATGTTCTTGAAGGATGTTCTTCAATCCTTGGTCCTGTTGTAGTTGCTTCTTTTGATGCTGATGTTTTGTGTTGCTCTTGTCGTTCGTGTCCATATCTGCCGAGCCAGTGCGTTTCCCGTGTCCTGGCGTTGCAGCGTCGTGTCTGCTGGCCTGCTCCGCCTCTTCGGTCCCCTTGCCCTCCGTTCCTGGTCAAGACTCCCATCCTCGCACGCGTCTGCTATCCCAAACGTGAACTCACCGAGCGCGTTCCACTACTCGCAAAGTGCCTACTCGCAAACGCCCGAAAAACACATGTCTGCTTCGATGTAATTTACGGTAGATCCCCCGCGGTGGATCGAGGCCAATTACGAGTAGCTACTTTGCGAGTAGTGGAACGCGCTCGTCTATGAACACTGTCGCAGTGGAACGCGCTCGTCTATGAACACTGTCGCGCCCCGCACAGCCGATCGTCCGCTCCGGAACCCTGGGCCAGTGCCGCAAATTGTCCTGCGCGTGGCCGCTCAGCAGGGGCGCACACCACGACGCCCCCCCGACAGCCCGCTCTGGCCCCCCCACGCGCTCTGAGCACCCCCGCCACGCGATCCTCCTCCTCC